AAAAATAGTCTATGAGAAAAACTCATTTTAGTGCTTGGCACACTGAAGAATCAATAAATGTGAGACTTCTTTTTTAGACTCCTTTTAAATGTAGTTAAGGAAATTGAAATATGCAAGAACAAATGCAGAATGAGAACACTTTAATTATCTTGTCTTTCATGAGTTTTTTTCTCAAATGATGAACTTAAATATTTAGTTTGCATCTAATCTTTAAAGTGCATTTATCCTTAATCTCCTCTATGATGCAAATTTAACATTCACTGTTCATTCATTTACCTAATTAACAAATTTGTGCCTATAAGTCAACTTTATATTATGCTTAATGATTCAACAAAAGCTTATTAACAGCCTATTATCTGTGTGAGACTCTCATTTAAAGGCTAGTTTATGCAGATACTGTTGGATAGCTTCTAGCATACTTCTAAGATACTTAAAAATAATTTTTCATCTTGTTCAATAGTGAAGATCACTGGTGGATTTCATTCTGTCTGAGAAACCAAAGAAGCAGGGAAATAAAATTTATTGACATGATTAAAGACTAGGTTTCTTGCAAAGCTACATTCTACTGCTTTAGAAATTTTCAAGGAGTAGCTGGAGCAAGTGCTCAGTGGTTAAGGGCATGTACTGCTTTTGCAGAGGACTGGAATTCAGTTCCCAGCATCTACACTGGGCAGCTCACAACCACCTATAACTCCAGCTCCACATGATCAGAATCCTTCTTCTGGCCTCTGTTGGCACCCAGACTCATATGCATATGCCCACATACATACACATTCATACCATTAAAAAATAAATCTTTAAAAATTTTCCAAGGAAAAGTAAAAACTAATAAAACAAAGAAAATAATCATAGAATGTAGTTTATATATTGTGTACCCTAATAACCTTATCTGGGGGTCAGAGAACAGAACAGCCACTAGATTAGACAGAGGCCAAAAAATGGTGACACACACACCTTTAATCCTATCACTTGGGAGGAAGACATCCATCTGGATCTCTGTGAGTTCAAGGCCACACTAGGAAAAGAGCCAGGTGTGGTGGCACACACCTTTAATCACAGCACTTGAGATCTCATGTCTTTGCTTGAGAAAGACACATGCCTTTAATCCCAGGAAGTGATGGCAGGAAGTAGAAAGGTATGTAAGGCATGAGGACCAGGACTAGAGGCTTTTAAGCTTTTAGGTTTTTTAGAAGCAGTTCAGGTGAGATCCATTTGGTGAGGACTCAGAGGCTTCCAGTCTGAGGAGTTGGTAGGGTGAGGTTGGCTGTGGCTTGTTCTGTCTCTGATCTCTCAGCTATCACCCTAATATCTGGCTATGGGTTTTTTATTAATAAGACCATTTAGAAATTTATGTTACAATAGAAACTTTATAAAGCACACTAAATGCCGATTTAAATTTTAGTAACACATCTCTATACTATAGACATACATGGGGCAGCTGCCATTGAGGGACTGTTTTGATCTCATGTAAATGAAAGCATGTAGTTTTTTGTCTTTCAGTACCTGGTTACTTTAAATAATTTAATGTTCTCATTTTCACCCATGTTTTTGCAAATTGCAGGGTTTCCTTTTGTAAGACTAGACAATATGCCACTGTTTGGATTGCACCACATTTCCATCATCCAGTCCCGTTGGGCACATCTTAACTATCAGAACACCATGAAATTAACATACCTCTTCCAGATCCCATTTTCAGTCTTTTTGGGAAGAACATCCTGCAGCAGGATTACTGGTCATGTGTTAGTTCTAGTGTTAATTTTTTGTTTTATGTTGTTTTGTTTTGAGCTAGGTGTTACAATGAAGGTGGGCTGGAGCTCACTGTGCAGCCCCAGACTGGCCTGGAAGCCTTGAGATACTTAACCTTTACTCCAGCTTGATTAGGATCAGAATCACACAGAAATAGATATCTGGCCAGGAAGTTTTCAGATTGGGTTAACTGAGGAGGGAAAACCAACCATGTTTGGTACCATCCCAAAAGTGAGAGTCCTTGGCTGCAAAAAAAATTTAGAAAGTGGGCTAAGCTCCAGATTTCATCTTACTGCTTCCTGACTGTGGATGAAGTGTAGCGGCTGCCTCAAGCTCCTGCCACTATGACACCCTCCAACTGTGAACTAAAATCTAAACTTTCTTCCATTGCCTTTGTCAGGCATTCTGTCACAGCAGTGCAGACTGTAACTGTGGCTCAAGGGGGTCAGAGGACACTTTCAGTTGGTGCTGTCCCTGTGGTACTAGTTTAGCAGGCATAAAAGATGCAAGACTGAAGGGGACATTTCAGAGAGCCACTGGCCAGAGCATGAAGCTGTGAAGGTGAAGCCTAAATTACAATGGAGACCCAAGGCTGTATAATTATCAGAAAGGTTGGCTTGTCCCTTGAGGAAAGCTGCCAGTACAAAGTAGAGATGGCCCAAGAGAGAGGCCATATTGCTACAGGCAGCAGAGCTGGTTGGGATACTTAAGCTCTTTCAGAACACAGATGATTTCATCACTAGACTCAGATGTTGGGCATGGAACTGAAGGGTGTGGTGTTTACCACGTTGGGTTTTGACCTTACTTTGGTGTGACTTTTCTTTATTATACCCCTATCCCTTCCTTCTGAAATGGAACTATTTATTCTGTCATTGTATGTTAGATATGTGTTTTGTTTTCTGTTTGTTTTGTTTTAATGTAAAGGGGATAGATGTTATAGATAAATGATTTGGTCCCAGAAGATATTTTGTTCTTACATTTCTGAACGATGTTGGAACTGTTAAAGACTATGAAGACTTTGGGAGGTGAAATAAGTGTATTTTTCGTTATGAGATGAAAATGAAACACTAGAGGACAGGATTGGAATGGTATGATTTCAAGTGACATGTTTATCAAGCTGCCAAGGGATGTGTTGGTTAACCTTTATTGTCAACTTAATGTAATTTTTAAATCACCATGGAAACAATCCTCTGGACATATCTGTGAGGGGTTTCTAGATTGGGTTAAACAAGGAAGGAAGACCTATCCTAATGTAGGTAGCACCATTCAATGTGCTAGAACACCAGACTCTATAAAAATGGTGAAGGAAGCAAACACTAGCATTCCTCCCTCTCTGCTTCCTGACTATGGCCACAATGTGATCAGCCACCTGTCTCCATGCCTTCCCGACCAGGATGTACTGCACCCTTAAACTGTGAGCTCAAATATCTTTCTTCCTTAAATTACTTTTGTCAAGGATTATTTGCTACAGCAATGAGAAAAGTAACTTATACATCAAGTTTTCTTATGTACCAAGTTTTCTGCTTTTGGCAGTATTTTTTAAACTGTTTTACTATTTAATATTTTTATTAAAACCATGCCCTCCCTAAATGCCTATACATATGACATGTAGAGAGAATGCTTTTAAAACCATACTCATAGCATGACATTGAAGGTGGCATTAATATGAAGACTCAGCTATTACAACTTAGCAATTCTGACACCTTAATTCTGTTCAGCTGACACTTAAGAATCATATCTAATAAGGTCTACAAAGAATACAGTATTCAAAATATAGACCAAACCACAGAAAACATGATCCAGGGAGTGGAATGATGAAATTTCAGTATACAATTTACATCTAGAAATTCATTTAAAATTTTATTTCTCTAAAAAATATGTTGTTACTGATTCGTATTAGAGTATTCTTCACAGATGCAGCACTTAAAAAAAAATAAAAATAAAAAGGCTGGCGCTAGAGAGAAGGCCCAGTGGTTAAGAGCACTGCCTGCTCTTCCCAAGGACCTAGGTTCAATTCTCAGCACCTACAGGGAGGCTCACAACTTCTGCGACTTCTGATGCCAGTGATACAGTACTGTCTTCTGGCTTCCATGAGAACTGCATGAACACACACACATATATACAGGTAAAGGACCATACACATTAAAAACAATAATGTTTTAAAAGTTTTTTCATTGCTCAAACAAGCTAATTAATCAAAATAAGACTTGTAATAATCCTAAAAGTAAATATTTGTTCCAAAGAGAACTAAGCCACAGTCATAAGTTACGTCAGGGTCCGTATTTTTTGTTTGTCCAAATCCAAAATCTACTCCATTTAAAAGGGTACCTACCCAAAGGCAATGTTATATACCGAAAGACCTTCCTACAGAACACTGACAAAATTTAAGGTTTGAGTTGACAAAATAGTATTTAAGAATGTACCAAGAAAACATAAGCTTTCCTAGTTGGAAGTAAATGAACATTAACTTTCTATAACTATGACTTTCACATTTAACCAGAAATAATCTAGAGCCTGTGGGCTTTCTTCTGTCTGTGACTCCTCTAAGATTCTAATTAATTCATCTATGCCTAATAAAAAAAAAAATCATACAATTCAATGTCTTCAAGAGAGGCAACTAGGTAATGCTTGCCCAGCACACACAAGACCTTAGGTTTGCAAATGCTTATAAACCCAGCACCTGGGGGATGGAAGCAGGACAAGAAACTCAAGGGTTTGAGGCCAGCCTGGGCTACTTGAGACCCTGTCCCAAAAAAAAGGGGGGGAGGGGAGAAGAGAAAGCAAGAGAGAGGGAGGGAGGGAGAGAGAGAGAGAGAGAGAGAGAGAGAGAGAGAGAGAGAGAGAGAAAGGATTTAGTCAGCTGTATACAGCAGAATTATAGATGCTCCTTCTTCCCCAGGTGTTGGAAAGAGTGTGTTTGTAGCCATCCTGGGAGGCGTAAAACTCTGCCTCAGAAAAAGGAGGGGCTATCACCTAGAAATAACCGAGATGGGGGACAACTCTAAGGACGCCAGAACCAGCCAGAAGGTGCCCCCTCTTCTCCTACTACACTGAAGAGTATCCCGGAACCCCAACTGAGTCAGTGAGGGGCCGTGGGAACTACACAGCGACCTTGCTTCAAAGAATACCCAGGGAGATCACCACGCGACCCCAAACACAGGGCCTGCGCGGGTTGCAGGGACGCGGGCGCGCAGCAGCTCTCGGGCTAGCAGCCACCAAGCCCGGCGCTGCCAAGCGGAGCCGCACCGACCCACCTTACGGAACCCGAGTGGCCGCTGAGTGGAAAGGACGCGCTAGAGGGCGCCGCGAACGCGGGCCTCAGCCCACAGCGGCCGGTCTGCGACGCTAACTCAGCTCCACTCCGCCTCCCCGCGGCCGGCGGCGACGCCTCGTCCTTCTCCTGCCGCGGAGACCACTGGGACTCGTAGTGCGCCCCGCCCACCGCAGAGACTCATGGGACATGTAGTACGCCCCGCCCTTCCCCGCCAGAGCGCCGCTTAGCGGTGCCCTCAGAGCCCTCGGGTTCCACTTCCGGTTTCGTCGCGCTGCGCTGGCACTCAGCCTGTGTGCCGCGGCGGCACCTTTGTGGGCTGCGGGACGTGCGTGGACCCCTCTCCAACCCTCTCGGCCTCGCCGCCCCGAGCAGGGCAGCGGGCGCCGGCCGCCCCGGTGCTGGCGCGCGTGCTGCTGGGTAACGGGCCTGCTCGGGAGGCCCCGGGCCGCTCCTGCTCGGCTTGACTGTGGCCTCCGGGGCTCCCGACTCCAGGCCCGCGGGAGCCGCGGCCGAAGACATGGGACTCCCTCGGTGCACCCGTGGCGGCCACCGTGACGGGGGAAGCGGTGGTGTCTTCGAGGAAACCGGAAGCCCGTGGTGACCCCTGGCGACCCGGTTTGTTTTCAGTCGGTTTCCAAACACTGGGGAAGCGAAACCCGGTGGCCTTGGGGGCGGCCCTACGTGGCCAGGGTTCAGGGTGAGTGGATCGATCGCTCGCTCGCGCTCGCCAGGAGGGTGCAGACAGCCGGGGCCCGCCTAGTGCCTGTCGCCTGGCCAGACACACGTCGTCTTCCGTCCCCGGCGTCCCTCTGCGGTACGGAGCGGCCCGCTGTAGCATCCCTCGTCCCTGCCGTCCCCACCGCCCCGGTACCACCGGCTCTTTCCTTCGCCCTCGCTGCCCCTGGATTGCTCGATTTCTGTCGGCGCTCTGACTGACTGGGAATGCTTTCAGTTTTATTTCCTGCACTGAGGTGGCATTTATATCGGGAAGGGAAAGAGGGACGTGGGTAGTGTCGATGGCGTCTGGGCAGTGACCATCAGTCTAACTTGTCTTTCAGTCCCGTTTTTCGGCTGTGTGGGAAGGTAGGCTAACACTCTATAGTCCTCCTCACGAGGAACTCAGTACTCAAAAGTGAGATAAAATACCCATGGAAGCTACTAGAAATCAGAACATAAAATTGCTCAGAACAAAATAATGTAATGATAAAAAACATTGACGTATTGGGGTTGAAATTGACCTCTACTCTTTAAATGCAGAAGGGAACTGAATTTTAATTGGATTGAACAAAATCTTAAAACAGTTTAATTTCTAGTTCTCCAAAAACGTTCTCGTTACCCAGTCCGCGGTGATCACTCCATCTTCTCAAGTTGGGAATAGTTGGGATTATTCTCTGGATGGCTACAAAATACTGAATGCCCTAAGGTTTGTAAATAGTCGTTCTCATGCAAATGCAAGAGTTTAATATCTAAGATCCAGCATGCTGTCATGGGAAACGGCAGTGGATTAGATCAAAAGCCTTGGGATGTAGGCATTGAATTTTCCATCTGTTCACTTAACACGAGTTAAAGGTTAAGCCTCTTACTCTTGGCTTCCCCCTTTTTTCTTTTGCTGAAGTTCAGTGCTCACTTTCCAGATACAGTTTCCAAGAGCTCTGCTGGCTCTGAAGTTGGCAACCCGTTTGCATGTTTAATTACTTCACCTGTAAATTGAGACGTGCTTTCCCATCTGAGTGTTTTTACATTGATTTAAAGAATTCTTAAGAACTACCTATACCTAGTTCATTAAAAGATGAAGCACACATTGGGCATGGTGGTACATGCCTTAAATAATCCCAGCACTAGGGAAACAGGCAGGCTGATTTCTGAGTTCCATATCAGCCACTGCTACACAGTGAGAGTTCTTCAGGAAAAGATTAGGTGAAACCCAGTGTCTAGAATATAATTGCCTCTACCAGAAGTGCTTCATCAATGCTAACACAGACCATTGTCGTATTTGCTGAGTGAAATAATGGAATTTAAAAAAAAAAAAATCTCTCAATGGGGCCAACATAACTTTAATGTCACTTACCTGAAGTGAAGTTACGTTTCATTGTTAGAAAATAATTATTAATAATATTTAATGTAGGTGCTTAGTTGCATGAGATACATTATTTTAGAAGAGTGTAAAGAAGGCTGCTCTTCGTACTATGCTATACTTGAATCTTAAGATTCCTCAGCCATAGCCAGGCGATGGTGGCATACGCCTTTAATCCCAGCACTCAGGAGGCAGAGCCAGGTGGATCTCTGTGAGTTTGAGGCCAGCCTGGACTACAGAGTGAGTTCCAGGAAAGGCGCAAAGCTACATAGAGAATCCCTGTCTCGGGGAAAAAAAAAAAGATTCCTCAGCCATAAAAACTGATCTCTGGACTGAGATTCCTTAGCCATAAAAACTGATCTCTGGACTGAGATTCTTTAGCCATAAAAACTGATCTCAGTGAGTCAGGATCATAAAAATGAAAATGACATTTTTCATATTACGTATCTGATATTGCTTAAGCTTTTGGGCACTTAATGAGTTACAGAGCATATGGTTGATGAGGTACATAGATTAAGTGTTGGCATCTTTTTAAAAGGGCACTTTTAAAGAATCCCTTTTAAAGAAGCAGAAGCCATTCCTACCCCTAATTATTTAAAGTGAGAAAAGGAATAATATGTTATTTCCTGGTTCTTTGCCCACTGTTTAACTGACCTATATGCAGTGGGTTCTCAAATATCCTAACTTTTCAGAGATAGAAAGCCACTGGAAATTCTAAACAGTATTCACTTCAGAAGATAATACACAATAGGCCTTAATTCAAATCCCAGTTCAGTCACATGCCGCAGGTATGATTATAGACAAATTTACTCACCTCTTTAAGGCTCAGTCTCCTTGACTGTGGTATTGGCAGCTCTTTTCTTGCAAAGTTTAGTGTAGCTATATTTAGCTTATCATCCAGTTTCTGGCAAAACTGTGAGTTTCTTTTTATCTGTTCAGGTTCCCATTCTGTAGCTGGATTAAAAAGTTGCCTTCACAATATAATGAGGTGGTCTCTTCATGATATATCCAACTCTGCCGTGTATAGGTATGAAAATTGAGGTCCAGAGAGCTGAAGTGACTAGTGTGTAACCAGGGTGATAGATGATAGACTAGAATTTGAGTTTCTGAATCTTAGGCCATTGTTCCATAGTGTTCAACCTTGGCCAGATTCTTACTGGGAAAAATTACAGTCACAACATTCAGAGTGTTTATAAAGAATCTAGATTTGGCCTGACCACTAGGTCCATCTCCCACCATCTGCCCAGCTCCCAATGCAGGCAGGTAAGAGCTTCCCAATCCTCCCCAGGCCCAGACCGCTCAACCCAAACTCCCCCATTCAACCCTCTTGAGGGCATGGGCAGATCTGAGCTTGTCTCAACCTTGGTCAGAGAAGTTTCCTTTTGCAGTGGCCAGCAGTCACTGGTGAGATCCATACTGGGTCAAGTGATGAGAATAAGAGACTGAGTGCTCAGCCCTGCTTGGGACATCAGCACCAACAAGGTGCAGAGAACAACATGGTAGAGAGGGGGAAAGAATGGAAGAGCCGAAGGAAGGAGAGGAGGGCTGTGAAATGCTGCCTTTTAGATGCAATCATGATCTAGCAACTTTTATTGCCTTACAAGACTTAATCCCAGTGTGGATGGGGGTGGGGGACATAATCTTTAGGCTTTACCCCATATTCAGGTGGAGAGTGACAGGAGGGAGAGACAGAATCGATTTTTACTAAGGATATGGCCAATGTTCCAGTGGATGGCCCACATGTATGCACATATGGACAACACACTTGCACTTGATTTGGATTATCAAAAAAAAGACATGTGTGAGCATGTTGAGGGGTATGGAGAGAATTAGAAGGGGAAATATGGGTAGATCGTATGTCATTGTATATGTGCATACGTGTGGGCCATCCACTGGAATGAAAATGCAAAAAGCTCAGGTCTTTAAAAGTATTTCTTGCCTTTGTGGAGCAATTTAGAGTGTTTGGTTTTAGCTGATTTTAGAAGATACTCAAATTCAATAAATTCTATCCATTTAGGGTAAAATTGTTATTTAAATAAGATGAATAGTGTAGATACTGTTTTTACCTCCCCTAAAATTAGATTGCATAGCATCACTTATATATATAGTTATTATATATAATGTCATATATATTATATACATATATATAAAAGGTTCTTTTAGGTAAAATAGTAGTTTACAGTTTTTTTATTTAGCTAGGGATCCAGCTCAGGACTTGATACATGCTTGGCAAATGTTCTACTGCTAAACCATACGCCCAGTCTAATTTCACACCTTCATAGAACTTTATAGTAATGGATCTAAGTGCTTGATCTAGAATTATTTTTCATCCTTTACAGTATAAAAGTGGTTATTAATATCTCCTGAGCCTTAACAACTTACCCACTAAGTCACGCTGCCCCTGAACCTTGGATTAGAACCTAGGTAGCTGTGCTTATAGCAATTGCCCTATGTTGCCTTTAAGATTTTTCCAGTATTCACATTGTAAATAGACCTTTTCTTCCTGCTCATCCACCAAGTGACCTTCCCTCTCTCTCATCTCCATAGCTGCCATGGACACACTAGTAGAAGATGACATCTGCATTCTGAATCATGAAAAAGCCCACAGGAGAGAGACAGCGACTCCACTTTTGGTGTACTCAGGAGAGGAATCCGTTGCTTCACATTTTGCCCTTGTCACCGCGTATGAAGACATCAAGAAGAGACTTAAAGATTCAGAGAAAGAAAACTCTCTCTTAAAGAAAAGAATAAGAGCTTTGGAAGAAAAGGTAGTTTTTGTTTTTGTTTTCCCTCATTTGATTATGTTTGACATAAAAAAAATCCAAATATTTGATATTTTAACTATTTTCTAATCTGTCTTCCAAGACTAAGTAAGAGTTCCTAAATTCTTTACCATTAAGCTATGTCACATCAGCTATACCCTATGCTCAGTGATACTGTAGAATAGGATTTAACAACTTGAAGGTTTTCTGGTCCAACTTTTTTTTTCCTTTTTTTCAGATTGACTACTGTCATTGCTATGTAGTGAGGCCAGTTTTTTCCCTTGTTTCCTTGTTTTTGTTTTGTTTTGGTGTGTGTGTTGCACATGCATGTGCACCTGTGTGTATT